CCTGTGTCATTGCCTGGACGTGGAGGTCATAAAGGACGGTGCTTAACCGGTGAGGCAGGAGGAGAGCTTGCTTTAAAGCCCTGTAAGGAAAGCATCCCCCCCCCCCAGGAAACTGCTCTCATCACAGTGGTCTTTATTCAGACCAGGTCTTCCCCTCCCCCTGCCCCCTAACAAACCCAGACTGAGTGGTGGATTTTTCTGAAGTCTGGGCTCACAGCAAGACTGCCTGGAGTGCAGGCAGTGTCTGCTGGGTAATCTGGGAAAGGAATGCGTGTGACAAGCAACCTCCACTCCCCTCTACATGGGGTAGAAGAACACTAAATCGGTCCCATGACATACCATTGTTATAATATAATCCATGGATAGAGCTGGTTCTGTGGCCAGCAACAGGCTACCAAGTTAGCCATCTGAGGTCAAGACTCTAACTGCCTAAGAATAAGACAGAATAGCATTAGATGTCACCTTGAGGGGTGTGTGTGTGTGTGTGTGTGTATGCATATACTTGTGTGTGTGTATGTGTGTGTGTGTGTGTGTAGATGTAACATTTTATACAGGATGCCAACATACTTCGATTATCCAAAGAATGTGGCAGCAGATGGTGCTGGTCTCATGTCCCCTTCCTCTCCCTCCCCTCCCTCCCCTCCCTCTCTCCCCCTCTCAGCCCCTGCAGCACCAGGTCCTCACAGGGCCCCTCCAGACCCCTCAGCCCTCTGGCCAGAGCACTGGAGGCCCCTGCCAAGTTCTCAGCCCCCTGCAGATTGCTTCCCACACCTGGAGCTTGTTCTAATTAATCCCAGCACACCCAGTGGCCAATACCGCTGTTACTTAATATATGAGCTGAATGGAAAAATTCTTCCATTATTGTGTTGGGAATAATGATCTAACAGCATGGGCAATGCTGTTTCATTACCACGCTCCCCTACCCGGCCCCAGTGAGCCCATTCCAAGGCATCGGGGAGTCGGGACCGCACAGGTGAGGATGCCAAGCCCCAGTCCCACACCCGGCCCAGGGCCCAGGTTCAGATGCTAGCAGCCTACTCTGAGCACCGAGTTGGTCTCTACCTTGGCTAGGGCTGGCGTGCGCTCATGCGTGTGTGTGTGTGTGTGTGTGTGCTTGCATGCGCGCGCACATGCACATTTGTACGTGTGCACCAGTACTGGGGTTTAAATTCAGGGCCCCATGCTCTCACTTGACTTTTCCCTCCCCAAGGTTGCCCCCACCACTGAAGCTGCAGCTCCACTTCCAGCTGTCTGCTAGTTCACTGGAAATGAGTCACAAACTCTCCTGCCCGGCTGGCTTCAAACTTCAACCTTCAGTTCTCAGTCTCCTAAGTATCTAGGATTACAGGTATGAGCCACCAGTGCCCGCCAGCCAAGGTAGCCCCTTAAAATGTTCCTCTTCTTAACCTCTAAGGACCAGCTGCCCCCCAAACCTGTACCCGTCCTGAGCCTCCCTTCCTGTGAGTTCCCTCTCACCCCTATGACCCTCAGGGCAGCCAGACTTGCCTCTGGGGGCCTGGGGATTGGATGACAGTGAGAAACTCCGGGTGCACTTACTTTCTCTCTTTCGCCATCTCCCTGTGGAGGGAGCACCTCACCCTTAGGAGCCTGTTTGTTGATTTTGTAACCTGGTGTGCAGTCACCACCTAGAACACAGGAACTCAGGGAGCTCCGCGTTCAGATGAACTCATCAGCTCTCTATAAACAGTGTGTCTCTCTGTCTTCTGCCTCCTCCGATGGCCTCGGACTTTCCCTCCATCCTCCTCTCATCCCCTCTGCTGGGTGCCACCATGCTCATCAGGATGTCTACCGGGCTCTGTGCATCCAACCAACCTTGTAAGTAAGGAGGCTTCTCTTTGCTTTAGGCAGACAGACATACATATGCAGAGGTGAGACCCAGGAACAGAACTGGTGTCACCAGGAAAGCAGGAAGCCCATGTGGAGCGCTCATCTCTTTCCTTGGACCCCTCCTCGAAGCCCTGTGTGGTCTTCTCCATTCCCAGAGCTCAACTGCCAGCTCTGCTTACCTGCCCCAGGACGGGGGCCAGGCGGATGCCACCCCTGGTTTCTCTAGACCCAGGAGACCAGCTTTGGGAGAGGGCAGGGCCCACACCCAGGTGCTTTGCTTGTGGCAGTGGTGACACTGCCGTCCGGCCTGGTCAGCACTGACCCTCGGGAGGGAAGCAGGCCCCAGACCAGCTAAATGTCAATGCACCCCCTCCGACCGGGTACCGGGTGCTTAGCCGGGGGTGCTTAGTACTCCCTGGAGGGTGCTTAGGACTTACAGAAGGGGGACAGGGCTCTGATCCAAACCAGCACTGGACCCAAAGCAACGGTAAAGAGCAGGCAGGGTTGCACAGGGACCCCACAGCCTCCAAAGGTAAAGAGCAGGCAGGACTACACAGGACCCCATGGCCTCCAAAAGCATCGGCAGCCGGTGGTCAGCTCAGCTTTCCAGCCACCACTTAGAAATAGAAATTAAATACAAATTTATATCCATGAAAATAGATTTGCACGTTGGAAGCAAAAAGTTATCTTGTCCCTTAAAATAACAGAAATGTGTTACTTACATAAGTTTGGCAATTGTGTCTGGGTGACAGCAAAGGTACCACCTTTGGGAATACCAGATGACCAGCCTGAGAGAGCTTTCCAGAAGGCAACCAGGATCATGTAATAAACAAAACAAAAAAAACAGCCCTCCCTCCGCCCCCCCCCAAGCCGATTGCTTCAAATGTTCCTTGGAAGAAACATACACCTTCAATGCACACAGTTTGGTAATAGTGATCGTTGTAATTTCCACTGTTAAGTGTCTGAGGAACTCTCTCAGTGTCCTCTGAACATCTCTGCACCCTCTGTCCCAAAGGGAACCCCCCCGCCAAGAGGAGGCCATGAGCGTAGCAAATGTGAACATTACCAGGGGAAAGGTGGATCGCTATCTCAATTGGCTAATTGAGCACATTTTCCCCCCTCTGAAATCACATGGAATTTGTTCAAAAAAGAGTTCCCTTTTTCTCCTGCTCATCTACATCTTCAGCTCTGAAAGGAATCCCTCTGTGAACATGGAGGGTGAGGCTGTGTGATTGCAGGGGGCTAAGCATGCAGGGGGGGGAGGGTTGAGGGGGGGAAGAGCAGCCTGACACAGTCTGACAAACCCCGAGAATCGGGGGCTTCTGGGAGACTGAGAACTCCCACTTCCAGTTAGGTCTGTCCTAACACACATTATGTCTGCTGCTTCAAAATCAGCAACCTTCAAGCCCCGGCAGCCCTGGAAAACGGAGGCTCTGGACCTTGCCATGCACAGGCAGTGGGAACAGCCTGACACACTGGTGCCCGCCAAGGCAGGACCTGCATTGGCACACCCACCCGAAGGCCTGGTCCTCACTGTGGCCTCCGGCTAGCTACCATAGCTCCAGCCCGCTGGGCCCACACGGGCTACATCATAGCTGGACCCCCTCTCCCATGCCCACCTCTCCCCTCTCCTCCCTGCCTCCCCCATGCCCGCCTCCCCCGCACCCCTCCCCCTCTATATATCCCTCCCCCTCCTCCCCCTCCCCCCCCCAGGCCCCGCCCAGGGCCTCAGCAGTTTCTCTTCTCACAGTGGAGGCACTGTCTCCAGTCTCCTCTGGTGGACCAGCCTCTCCCCCAGGGCACAGGGCAGCACCTGTCTGGCCCCAGGAGGACGCCCCCCCTCCAATGGGGTGTCGGGCACAAAGCTTGCTCCAATACCATCTCCAATACCACACACACACACACACACACACACACACACACAGTGTGAGCAGCCCACCTCTGTGAGCTGCTATGATCCCAGCTTGCTCCAATACCATCTCCAATACCACACACACACACACACACACACACACACACACACACACAGTGTGAGCAGCCCACCTCTGTGAGCCGCTATGATCCCAGATGCCCCAAGCAGGGTGGGGAGCAGAACTCAGGAGGCTTGTGTTTGGAGGTCAATCCAGGCCAACATGTTAATCAGACCCCATCTCAACACACCAAAAAAAAAAAAACAGGCATGATGGTGTACTTCTGTGTTTCCAGTTATTTCAGAGGCACAGATAGGGGGACTGCAGGTAAAAGAGAGCCTCTACCAGCCACAAAGGTCAGGTATGACTCAAGGGGTAAGCACAAGGCCCCAAGTTCCAACCCTGGTCCCCCAAAACAAACAAGCAGAGGAAGGACTCGCACAGACTCGAAGCTTCTAGAATGTGATGCCACTGGGTTACTTATTAATGACAGCCTGACTCAGAAGCTTCCGTGTTTTCTGCACTTTGGACCCTCCTCTGTTAATGGCCTGCAGTTGTGGAAAGCCAGCCATTTTTTTCCTGCCTGCCCCAGGCTGGCCGTTCAGGTGTCTCACTGTCCCTGGGCTCTAAGCCCAGTGGACCCCCAAACTGCTCCCGTCCCCACCCCCCAGCAGTGGGTGAGTGCCCAAGGCAGACCTGGCCAGGTCACATGGCACATACTACTCCCACCGAGTGGCTCCTGCCTCCTCTGAGTCTGTGCCCAGACATGCAGCCCTCCCTCCATCGTGGAGCCCGGTGGCACAGCTCAGGCGGCAGCAGCACCCAAGGTGGGAGTGACAGGGTTGCCCGCCAGGCAGCAGCTCAGGGGCTGCGGAGGGGTGTGACCCCTTGTTCACCCACCCAGGGGTGCAGAGGCAGCCCCACACCACGGAGAAGAGCTCAGCTGAGCTGGCGTGCACATTGGCAGAAGGCAGGGGAGGGAGGGGGCTGCAGCATGTCCCCCGCCCCCTCCAGGCCTGTATCACAGCTGCCTGATTGGAAGATGCCACAATATGGGGTGGGGAGGGGCACGGTGGTCCCCTGGGGCGCTCTGGGACACCGCCAGGTAGCGGCCCACCATCACCAAGGCCCAGTTAGGGGCAGCTGGACAGCGAAGCGTCTACCATTCTCCATCTTGTAGGTATCTGTATTCTGTCCAGGGGGGAAGCAGTTGATTTACGAACACGCAGGATTGCAACTGGCCATGGTTTAAATTTATTTCAGCTTCTAAACTGAGGATGCTCAGAGTGATATACAGAAACCTGTTCACTTGGCACACCGGTGTCCAAGTTCTGTGCTTTAGTATAGGCGGCTATAAGTTATAACAAACATCTTTGCCTTCCCACAAATCCTGTTTATCGCTTCTCTCCTTCAAAATAATACATAATATATTATATATATATAAAATATATATTTTGGGCATCTGCTATTACCCTATCTGCCAGAGGTTAGAAGCATTCATTGTAGTAGAACACAAATGGCTATTCACTCTCAAGTTTATCATTCCCCTTACCATAGAAATCCCGGATTCTTCAATAGAAAGAGAGATCAAAAGAAAAACTATACTCCTGGATTAAGAGAGACAAGAAGGCCTGCTGAGCTAAACCAGATGTACAGGTTATAAACATATTTATATGTTCTATGTACATAGTTAGTGGTAACCTATTTGTTATAAATAGTAGGTGGAACTTAGATTCTACAAAAATAATCATTTTCGTTAGGCACATGCAAATCAGGACACTTAAAACCTATTTATAAAACACGTCTATGTGTCTTTTTTGCTTTTAAATATAAATGCTGCTGCTTAGCCACCAGCTAAATGATTCCTATGCAAATACCAGCATCCCCAATGAAAAGTATAAAATCTGCTGTCTTCACCGCAGATATTGCTTCAAGTACTCACCTGCTATTAGTGAAGCAGAGATTATTTTGCCACGTGTGAATTAAGAGAACACATCCATCCCCCCAGGGACTGACACACTTCAGACTCAACATCTCCTCTGCTCTACTTTCTAAATATTGCCAACAGCAAGTATTTCTTAGGACAGCATCGTCTTGGCTTTTGTATTCTCATGGAAATGGATGAGACAGAGGCTCCTCCTCAGGTCCCAGTGCCCGGGATGGAGCAGTGAGGCTCCCCACACCCCGCCCCTAGCATACCCCGTCCCTCAGTGGTTCACAGAGCCATCGGCATCTGCAGGGGAGGAGGTCGCCACGAAAGGCTCATTCTGCTTCTGGTCCTCCTTCAGGCCGGCCGCCTGGTCAGCGATGGAGGAGAAGGATAGCTGGTCGTGCTCCACGATGTGCACCTGGTCCTCATCCTTGTCCTTCTTCACATAGAACATTTTCCTGAACTTCTTCAGCTCGTGGAGCTCACAGAAGGTCTCCAGAACCACTAGCATGGCAATAAGGCCCAGTAGCAGGTAGCCTGTGCGGACGGGACAGGACAGCAGCATCTCAGCACCGCCCAGTCCTGTTGTGGCTGAGTCCAGTACCCAGAGACTCAACCCTAACCCTCTGGACAGGGGGGCTGAGGAGAACACGAGGGCAAGTGTTCTGATTTCTAAGGAAGTTTCAAGTGAGAGACAACGCAGGTGAACTTGTACTACATTAACAAGCACACAGAGGGTCCCATCACCCCTTGGGAGACGTAGAAACAAGGGCTCACAGAAACATTGCTGTCCCTCCGCTCTTTCACTCAAGGCTGGTGTTCTACCACTTGAGCCATAGTAACGCTCTTCCAGCTCTTTGCTGGTTAGAGAGAAGAGTCTCATGGATTTCCTGCCTGTACTGGCTTCAAACTGCGACCCTTAGCTCTCGGCCTCCTTGAGCATCTAGGGTTACAGACATGAGTAACTGGTACCTGGCTAGTTTCTTATGCTTAAAGGAGCACTGCTGCTTCTGACTGCTAGTTCTTACAATTGGCAACGGAATGTGTTAGTTTTAAGTTAGTTTCAACATTCTCAAAACCTCAGCTTCCAAAAGCAAATTTTTAAATCATGGTAAAGGACAACTGGTTCGATAGCCACTAAGTTCAACTACAGGTTTGGGTACAAATGCACTGTGCCACTGGCTTCCCTGTGGTTTACAAAGTGGTGATCTGCCACATTGCTTCCTCATTGTGTACCTGACTCTGAACAGTGGCAGACATCCCACAGGTTTCTGACAAGACCTTCGGGGTCTCATTGGGGACACTCAGTTGCTGGGCAGCCAACCCAACCTTGCACTCAGAACTTAAACCAGCTCCAGGTGCCTTGTCTGGAACAATGTTCCACTGTGGGAAGTGACAGGGGCCATGCGAGGACTTGGTGTGAGGTAAACAGGGTCTCTCTCTCTCTCTCTCTCTCACACACACACACACACACACACACCACCACCACCACATAAGTCACGATAAATGTACAGTTGGCCAGCCAGTCACACACACATACCACTGCCCAAGTCATGATGAAATGTACAGCCGGCCGGCCAGTGGGTCACACACACACACCACCACCTGTCACAATGAAATGCACAGCCGGCCAGCCGGTCACACATGCATAGATCATGAAGTAAGGCACAGCCCGCCAGCACACCCACACCTGCATTCCACTGCCTAAGACATGAAGAAATGGAAGGTGATGGTAACAACTAAATAATTACCTGTGTCCTTAAAAAAGCAAAGGTAATATTTATATTGCTGGAATTCACACACAGAAAAACAAACCTACCAACCAAACAATAACAACAAAAAAAACCCACCCCATAATTCCTGTGGCTGCCACCACCCCCTGGAAGGAAGGCCGGCCTGGTCACTATGGTGACCGTGACGGCACAGGCCTGCACACATCTGGACGGCCTGGTCACTATGTTCTGTGAGTCACAAAGAGGACAATTCATCTGGGGCCAAGCCATCAATTTCTTGGAAAGATATCAAAGTCCAAAAAGTGGAAACAAGAAGAAAAAAAAAAAAAACCTCCACTCCATATACCCAAGAGAGAAGGATCTGGTCAGAGGAGGAATAGGTGGGAGAGAAGCCCACTGGCAAAGACTAGTTGGATGCTAAAACAATCTTTAGGGACTGGGAGACACACCACTGAAGGCTTCTGAGAAAGGCTTTGTTCCCAGGAACCTGCTCTTGGTGCATATGTGAACATGTACAAGGTCCCACAGAGCCTTCCGAGACATGGAGAGGATAGGCCAGAGCCGGGGCCTGGGCTGGAACCTGCGACTTGTGTAACACAGTGGGTCCTGGAAGACTCGGCCTGGGCAGGTGAGTCACAAAGCCAACATCCCTGAGACAGAAGCTCTGTGACCATCAGCACCAGAGGTTCACACACTGCACCCCGGGGAAAACTCACACAGAAAGGAAACTGCGTGCTAGCTACTCAGGAGGCTGGGATTTGAGGATCCTAGTTCAAAGTCAGCCGGGACAGACAGAAAAGTCCATGAGACTCCTAGCTCCATTAACCACAAAAAGCCAGAAGCAGAGGTGTGGATCAAGTGGTCAGCCTTGAGTGAGAACGCTAAGCAAGAGAAGAGACCTTGAATTCAAGCCCCACCACCAACATGAGAGAGACAGAGAGACAGAGAGAGATTCCTCTTAAATGGAATTCTAAGCTTTGTAAAATGTGTCAAATTAAAAACAAGAATCACTATAAAGTTACAAATAGCCTGCCATCTAACTTTCATGTTTCTGAATGCACGGAATGCCAGGCAATTGCTCTGAGAAGGGACCGGATGGACACTTAAGACAGCCGAGTGTGGCTAGAATGTCCTGGACAGGTCAAGAACGTGATGGATAGGTGCTGTCTAGATCCGAGGCCTTGTTTTCTTGTGCTCATGGTCCCTAACAAAGCAGGGAAGTTCAGTCATGACAGCTGGCCATCAAGCTCTTGCTGCATGAAACAGTTTGCACTGACTTATCTTTTGATTTAGCAATGAATAAGTAATTTTGAGATGAGAGGGGGAAAAAATAAGTAATCGAGATTCTGCAAGAAGTTTTAGTTTTGGATTTTGTGCTACCACTAGGGCTTGAGCTCAGGTACTAGACGCTGTCCCTTGGCTTTTTTTTTTTTTCCACTTTACCACTTGACCCCAGCTCTACTCCCTGTCCAGGAGGGCTTTGAACTGTGATCCTCAGACCTCAGCCTCCCGATTACAGGTGCCAGCTTGCATGGGAGTTTTGATGGGTCCTAAGAAGGTGTGAGGACAAGGCAGGCGCCTTCTCCAAGAGAAGGCTGCAGCAGGGAGAGGAAGAGGGCGAAGCGGCTGCCAGGAGGGGGCTGGGCAGATTGGGGCCCTGGTACTTACACGTGATCCCGATCTTGTACAGCTCCCTGAACTTCTGGTTGTAACCTTCCCCCGGCACATAGTCACCCAGGCCGATGGTGCTCAGGGAAATGAAGCAGAAATAGAAGGATTCGAGGAAGTTCCAGTCTTCCTCTAGGACGGAGAACACCGCGGCCGGGATGAAGAAGAAGCAGGACACGGTGACGAAGCCCAGCAGTACGGCATGGACGATGGCCACCAGCTGCTTGGAGAAGCCCCAGCGGATGTGGAAGTAGAGGACGGGTCTGCGGGTGACGTGGACGGTCACACGCTGGACCACGGCCGTCAGGAAGAGGAGGGTGAAGGGAATGCCGATGACCGAGTAGATGATGCAGAAGGCCTTGCCTCCGTCTGACAAGGGCACGGTGTGGCCATACCCTACGGGAGAGAAGACTGAGTGGACAGGAGGCTGGGGCAGCGGGCAGCTCATGTGTGGCCTGCAGTCTGGCCTCACTCCTCCCAAAGCAGCAGAGACATGGACTTAGGTCTCATCCTTTGAAGGTGCCTGGATACTGTTGGTAAAATTCAAAAAGTGATACCATGCCTTTGGGAAATCTCTAATCTCCACCCGCCCCCCACCATCCTCTACTGGGGATTGAACCCAGGGCCTTATAGTAGGTGCTCTACTATACGAAACACATGCCCAGCCCTTTTGTTTTGAGAAAAGGTTTTTGCCTGAGCTGACCTCTATCCCAAATTCTCTTGTTGCTATCTCCCAAGTATCTGGGATTATAGTCACGTGCTACCATACCTGACTAAATCTACTGTTCTTTACAAACTCTAACCCACAATTCCTACACAGCAGTCTATCGTGTAGGTTTTGTCCTGAGGCTAATCAAGAAGAAGGACATTATAAGATAGGTCCACATGTCACACATGAGAAAACTCATCCCAGATGCCCCTTCCCCAGGCCACTCCCTCCCTCCCTCCCCACTCCACCCTAGTGTCTCCCAGCCTCCTCTCCACTGCCAACAGATGACTCAGGAACGTTCCAGGAATCATTGAAAATAAAGGTGTGTGAGGAGAACCAATGGTATGTGTGTGCAGATGGAGGGCGGGCATGTGTGCAGAGGGCGGAGGGAGAGCTTGTGTGTGTGTGTGTGTGTGTGTGTGT